AATAAAATAATAATTTTTTTTTAAATATCCGTCTGGGTACAACACACTGGTATTTATACACACATAAGTTATTTAATGTGGGTTACACATCATACAGTCACACCCCACAGCCCCGGTTTTTTTTATTTAGTTCTTCAAAAATTTCATTTTTTAACCCTTCCTACAAAATTAAAGGATGCAAAGCATGTCTCTCTCAAACTTATTGGTTTTTGTCACTCGTAATTACCCCCTGCTTAGCGTTCTTACCCCATAAAAATATACTACGTAGTATTGTATTAAAAATACTAGTAATTTTATTTTTATGATTGTGGTTTAAACATTAAAAAAAATTTTAATTACTATATTTTTTAAATAGACAAAAATTATTTATTTTTTGTATGGTATCATTTTTGTAGAAAACAATTTAGTTTACTTAAGTGTTACACATCTATATTGGCCTATATACGTATGACAATTGAAGCATCTGTTTCCGATATGGTATAATATTGGGACATCTGCAAAGCGAAATAATTTCTATTGGAAAAAAATATAGGGAATGGGACGGCAGATGATGATTAATTTAATATGTAACCCTTTTTTCTACTGCCGATACGCGCAATATATCGATGGGTTCATGCAGATGTTGTAGCCATCCCTTTTACTGATACAAGGTGTTACGCGACCAGGTAGTGTTACTTCCGCATTCATATATTATTGTACACTGGAACGTGCCATGCCTGTTTTGCATTGTCTGAATATTATATTACCCAATCCTGTTGTCGCCATCGATAATCTGTAGGAAATGATAGAAGCCCCGCTAAAGGTATTCAGAATATAATATAATATGCCCCCTTCTTCTATAGACAACATGCGGTATTATAATTCATTCAATATTGTTCAAAGGGATAAAAAAACGCATAAAGAGGTATGTATTCAAATATGATGCGTAACAGAAGTCAGTTTACGAATCGACAACGTCCTAAATAATTAATACAAAAATAAAAACTTTGATGTTTAAATGAAAAGTACATGAATTCTTTTAGAAAGTAAAAATTAATATTTGTGCGTAATATCGGTGATACTTTACCCTTTATTTTACGTGGCTATCACTTTTTCGCGTTTCATATAAACGAAAGATCAGTAGATAAATCCCACGAGACTCGTAGTAAGAAAATTACATTTCAGTTTCTCTCAAGTCCGTCTTGTTGTATTTACTTATTACGTGACTGGGTTTTACAGATGTTATATTCAATATTCATATTTAAACATTATAACTAGAAGCAATGTTTTTAAATTATCGTAATTAATAATTTTTGTTCACTAAAATATAAATGTTATAACACATGATGTGTTACGCATCTTAAAGTTAAGTCAGCCTTCTTAAATGAAAACTAAATTAAATTTTGCAATTTTTATTTTTTATTTATTGTAATTTGGTAATTTTAAAGATTAATTATTAGAAGAAAATTATACTAGGGTTATATAAAAAAAAACTATATAATATATATATTTTTTTAATAAATTTATATAAATGAGTGATATTTACTCACGGAACTCTGTATGTTTATCAATTGAAAACTTCTTTGACAATCATTAAGATTATATTAACTACAAAGTATATAAAAAAAATTAAAATAATATAAACTCAAATTTTATATAAATACCTTCAAACTAGTAAAAATTAAAGATTAACATTGGTAATTATATAATTTTAATTACTATAATAATTAAATTATATGATCACTTATATTAATACTTTACCAGGATGACACAACCTTTACATAATACAAGTACAGGCTGGTATTGCAATTAACGGTAGACCACATCCTAAAAGACGGTATACAGTATTTTGACGATCGAGCAAAAAAAAATATTCCATATATACTGAAGAATTTTTAGCATCAATACTAAGTGTATTGTAGATCATTTCAAATTTTTAACTACATACTCACTAATTAATGAAATATAACTATACATAAATACATGTGCATTCATTATAATTTTTATACTTTTGTAAATATTTAAAACATTATTCAATTGTTGGCCTTAGTTGACGAGGTATTTATCCTTAAAAAAAAAACATATATTTTTTTCTAGAAAACATACGTACAAAAAAACATTTTTCTCTTTATAATTTATCTATTTCTAATATATTCGGAAACACGAACAAAAATACATATGTTAATCAATGAAATGGCTCTATTTTAATCAATTTTGACTTTTCAAAAAAAAAAAAACTGTTTTAATGCTCTTAAAAATTACTATTATAAAATATTTTGTTTGTCCTTTGGTTGGGTATTTTGTGGTCAAAGAGCTGCAAATTTATGTATTTTTAGCTTTGCTTCATAGCTTTAAAATATGGTTAAAAATTGTCGTGGATTGCCAATTTTATATGAGCGGCTGTGAAACTCAATAAGCCACAACAATTACTAAAAAAAACGCTTGTATGTATATCAGGAAAATTTAAAAAACATACTAACATCCCGACTTTCAGTCGGAGTGACAGTATGGCACTAACACAGTTAGTGTAAAATTTTCATTAGTTTCTGAAAAATGAGTGTGTGCCTTCTCCAAAATCTGTCACTCTGTATAAAATCCAGATGACCCCTAGTGAGGTTAACATTTGTCACATATTGCCAGTTTATACGAGTTTAATAATGAATAAAATACAATTTATGTAAAAAATTATTTTTTATATTTTTAACTATATAATGCTATAACTTTTTGAAAAATGTATGGATCAATACAATTTTTTTTTTTTTTATAGAAACTTAATGAAATTACCTATCCTTTATCTGCCCAGTGAGAGATTGAAAATGACAACTTTTTCACAAAAAGTTAATTTTTTAACTTAATTTTTGAAAGTGTTCCGGAAATACTGACACTTTTGTATATATATATATATATTAAATTTCAAACTTTATTTTGTCTTCATGGTGAAAATGACTATCGTATTCAAAAATATGCTATATTTGTGTTAAAATTCTCGATTTTATATTTTATTTTATTTTAAAATACCTTACAAAAGTTTTTGAGTTAGAAAAAAGTGTTTAACTCATTTAGATTTAATAACTTCAATGAATATCATGGACCCCATCACTGTAATCTCCTCTCGTGAGAAAAAACTTCTTATTCATATTAAAAATACTTTACTACATGGTTTTTTTTTTTGACTGTCGTTTATTTTCTCAGCTCACACTTGACCAACTATTTTTAATGATACATCAAATGATCACAATTGTTATCTAGTTCAAGATATTACCCATAAAAATTGAAAAAATTTCCATTTTATCAATTAAAAAGATAATTAGCTAACATTTTCTATAGAGACAATTAAAATCATTCATTTGTAACGCTTTTAAAGTATTTATTCTTGAATTAGGTTTCTACTATAAAATTAAATAATTTTACTTTGTAATTTATCTTTATACATTTATTTGTATGTTACTAACAGTCTATAATTTCAAGATTACATTTTAACATCTTGCTATTTAAAAAATAAATCTAAAAAAAAATTGTTTTCAGTCTTACCTGAATTTAACAAAAAAATTTTACAATAATAATCAAATTTTATAATATGCTCAAATGAGTAAACTTTTTTGAAAAATTTTGATTGGTTTTTTTAGTTAAAGTAAATGATTAATATTAATTAAGTTATAAATATTTCAATTGTAGAATATTTTTAAACACCAAAAGTTACTTAAAAATGATTACTATGATTTCTATTTAAGTGATCTATTACGATAAAAATGCAAAAAAAGAAAAATATTGAGTTGTTCTGACAAATTTACAGTAAATAGTAATTGTAAAATTGCCTGACTACATATTAATCTTAACAATACATTTTTTTTTATTTCTCATAAAATTTCCTATTTAATGATTTAAATTTCAAACTTGCAAGTTGAGTTAGAAGTCATGGTAACAAATTCAATTTTATTATAATAAACTTTAAATAACCAAAAAAATGGGTTGAAAATGATATTTTGCACTGATTACTTTTAACATATTAAAAATCAAACCAGTAATAATTTGAAAACAATTTTTTTTTGTTTTTAATCATTTTTTTATCGTAATAAATCATTTCAAAAATATTAATCATTTCAAAAATATTAATCATTTCTATGTAACACTTGGTGTTTAAATATATAATTTTTTTCTTTTTTAAACTTAGTAATTCTTAAGTTACAATATTTAAATATTGTAGAAATTATAATATTTAATTATATTTTGCGTAAAAACACAAAAAATAAGCAAAAACGAATAAAACATATTAATATATATGGGTCTTTACTTTTGTAGGAGTTCGGAGACTCTTGCACCTCCTAAATCTACATTTGCACATATCAACAATAATTTATCGGTTAAGAAATTATAAAAACACAATTTTTTTTTCTATCATTTCATATTAAACTAAAATTATTTGTTATTAAAGTTATTTGAAAATAATTAAGTTAAGCTTTAAAAAGTTTAAAAATAGTTGAATAAGTTGAATCCAAAAATATTATCATTGATTACATGCCACTAGTTATANAAAGTTGAATCCAAAAATATTATCATTGATTACATGCCACTAGTTATAATTAATTAAAAGTAACCAATACCACAAAAATTACTTGAAAAAATTAACGGACATGTGTACTTTGAAAACGATATTTTCATCGTCGTCAAACAGACACTTCTGTATCTGAAAGTATCAGATATTTTAAATAAAATATTTTTTTTTAGAAAAATGTTGACCAACTTAATTAAGATGAAATATAATTACAAATAAAAAAGTTAAGCCTCTACTCTTTATTAGTTAATAAAAATTTTTGTTAGGTATAACATTTTTTTTTAAAATCATTTTATTGTAAAATGATATGATTTAAAGTAAAAATGGCGTATAAAATGTAAACAACCGCTTCTCTTGAACCTCTTTGGAAAGCAACCATAACCTCATTTATTTGTAATGCCCAATCGTCCACTAATGTAATATTAATAATTCTATGCCGTACAAACGATAACTGAAAATTGTCTCTAACATCATATCGTTAGCCGCCAACCACAACATAAAATTTAACACAAATGAAAATAAATTTTAATCGACAAATAATTTTGAGACGTTTATTCGTAAAATTACTGTTAAATTTTCGTGTTTATATTGGTCAAAGTAAATATGACTGTTCACGTGACATTGATGTAGTTTATTATTAATTTTGATAAGTATTGTAATGAATTACCTGTTGTGTTGATGTTTCTCTGAAAATAGTAGGTTTAAAAATGGTAAGTGTTTATAAAGTTTTCATATATTTTTTGTGAGATTTCGTTTTTTATCACTTTTATGGCCTATTGTGAGGCTGCCCGTAAGTAGAGGTTTTCGTGGTNTGTGAGGCTGCCCGTAAGTAGAGGTTTTCGTGGCGTGTGAGATTTCATATACAATTAAATGTTTTTTAGGACTCTCCAAGTACAAGACCTGCTTCAATGATACCTCCTCCTGCGTATCCACCTCCTTCTCAAATGGGTTTTACGCCGGGAACGATTCCTCCAGGAGCTATACCTCCAGGCTTTTTAGCAGGAGCGCCAATGGGCATTGGTCCTCCAGGAATTCCACCACCATTTATACCTCCTTATAATATGAGTATGCCAGGTATGTAATTAAATTACTTTTTTTATAGTATGTTACACTATTAAATAAGAATCTTAGTTGTTTAATTAAACAAAAAGAAGTTTTTCATAGACCCAAGAGTTGTAATCTGATAATAGGTTATTGTAAAACGCCTTAAATAGAACATTTAATTTTGGATGACACTTTTTTTATCTATTTATTAATTGTTGAAATTTATGTGAACTTAAAGTAATCTAAATATAAGTATATTTAATATAATAATTTATACTATCAAAAAATGTCAAAATTTAAGTAGTGCTAATTGTTTTTTAACTAAATCCATTATAAAATTTAACTTGATTTTTAAGAGATAAAATTTTATAAGATTGTATTTCTATGTTTATATTATATACATTAAGATACTGTCCATTTATTATATAGAGATTGATTTAATTATAATACTTTTTCTCCTAGGTGAAATTGTTGGAGCTCCTGTTTCATTTACAAATTCTATACCACAAACTCAAAAGTATGTAAAGTGATTTAAGTATTTGTTAAATTTTATTATTGACACTATTTTAGTATTTCATATGCAGTTATAAAGACTATATTTTTGTTCTAATTAGTAGAAAGAATCTCATTATTTCTATTTATTCTAGTTTGAATTCAATTATTCTGATACACTGCATCATAGAGATCATTATTTTTCTTATAACATGATAATACTATGTGCATAATTTGAGTATCTAATTGTAATACATATGTAATTTATACTTTAAGCAAATTGTATTATAAACATTTATTTATGCCAGTACTTAAGTTTACAACTGAGATTATATTTTATAAACTAATTTTGTCAGTAATGTAGCGCACTGTGTATGCAGGATTTTAAATATCAGTTTCTATCTTTACGATAATACATGTATAAATAATAATAAGTGTATATTGGGCTTTCTTTTTTATACATATTAGTCCATTACTCTGTCAGCTAACATGAATATTTTGCAAAAAAGGTTCTTGATGATATTTTAAGTAAAAACATTAAATAAGTTTAATGTATACCAAATAGGGAATTTAATTTATTTAATATATCCAACATTTCTTTTTATTATTTCAAACAAATATTAATTCAAATCAATTTTTTTTTGAAATAGAAGTGTATATATTTCTTTTAGATAACTAAATAATGTGTCATTAAGAATGAAATAAAGTAAAAACAATCTTAATTATAAATAATTATTGGAACTTAATTTATTGTTTATGAAAATAATTAAATCACTACTCTATAAGCTGTACTTTCATAGAATCCCTTCAATATATTATTTTGATTATATATGCATGTTTTCCTTTTTTTTTTTGGTAAAAGGCCCTTTACACCTTAGACTTAAAATATGCTAAACTTTGATATTAGGCCACTCACGATTCCTAATGATTTTGCTGAATGTCAGTACTACAGTGTATCTATGATTGATTTGTGGTGACACCCAAGAGAATAGGGAGACTGCGATTGGTAAGAGTTATCACAATATTGAACCATTAAATTAAAATCATTGTTAAAGTTAATAAAGTTTAAAATTTTAAAGTAATACTAAGACCTAAAAATATTTTTTTTAATTTATTCAAACTATTGTTTGAAAGAAAGCTGTTACATTGGTAAGTCATGTCTTAAAATATGTTATAGTCAATGTAATAAAACTGAAGAAAGCATAGTTTGTATTGATTTTTTTTTTTGGTTTTTAACTAAGTTTACTTGTGGTTTATTATTATTTGTTTCTTTTTGTGTACTATATTTTGTTAATATTTATTACATAGTTTTAAACTCATGCTTTACAGGAAAATTGATTGTTATTAATATTTCTTATTAATATTTAAATGCGATTTTGTGTAGTGATGAAACTAAACCTGCAAGTGATTGGACAGAACACAAGGCCCCAGATGGCCGATCCTACTATTATAATTCAGTTACCAAACAAAGTTCATGGGAGAAACCTGATGAGCTCAAATCTAAAACTGAAGTATTATATTTATTCATATTATTTTGTTGAATAATTTTATTAATTTTTTATCTTTTTAAATAGATCCTTTTAGATCAGTGTCCATGGAAAGAGTACAAGTCAGATACAGGTGCTACATACTATCATAACCTCAACACTAAAGAGTCTAGTTGGACAATTCCTCCAGAACTTGATGACTTGAAAAAAGAAATTGCTGCTGAACAAGGTCTTAGGTAATAACTTATTAGTAGCTATCATTTAAATTGAATCAAGTATATAATTATAAATCAATTATCATTAAAATATTTTTTTGACAAAACTTTCATAAAATTACTTTCTAAGTTTTCAAAGGTAAAATATAAGGTAATTATGGCATTTTCTATGAAATATTGTCATAAAAAATTAACTTTATAAGTTAGATGTTAAAAACTTACTATAATTAGTAATTACAGTCTAAACTTGTCAAAAATGTTTTAATTAAAATATAGAATTCTTTGTATTGTTTGACAATAATCTATTATTTTTATTTATTTATTTTTTGTAAACAATTAAATGAAATGAGATCTGGTAGGTTATTAATATATGAATTATTTTATTTTCAACATAATTCTAGTTTATTTTACTTTTTTATTTTGGATTTTTTAATTTTTATTATAATTTTTTAAATGAAAACATATATGTTTAACCAACTAAAAATAAGAAAATTTTCAGTCATTAAAAACTTTAAAACCAGTATTTTGCAAATTATTAATATTTAAATATAAAGACTAGAGGTAAAGCGAAGATGTGTTTAATATCAAAGGTATTATGAGTAGCACTACTCTTCCCACCTTGGTAAAAAAATAGTGATATCTCTGAAAATACTGATTCAAAAGTTGATAACGACCAATCATTTTCTTATTAAGTTAATTAAACATATAAATTTCTGTTGAAAAAATAAAAAAATAAATTGATTAAATTTTAGGAAAAGAAGAGAGAAATAGAACAATTTTTTTTTCTTTAAATATTCTATGTTTTACTTTTTTTTTTTTAATACTATTTAAATCATAATTAAATAATTGCTCTGTATATGAATTTTAAAACTATAATATATGATTTATACATTTTAAGGATAATTTTCAAGGTTACATCAATTATTAATTTAAAACTGTAAAATATTTCAGTCAAACTCCATTAATACAGCAGTCTATTGAAATACCATTAGATCGAGGATCAGATAGCTTGGGTAAACATTTAATTATTATAATAATTACTTTATGATTTTAATTATTGAACTTGTAATATTTTTTAGATCTTGGATCAGCAATGGACCAAGCTATGGCAGCTACATTAGCATCTATAGCTGTTCCAGATGAAAGTAAACCAGTAAATAATGTTTCAAGTAAAGGAAATAAATCAAAAAACCAAGTTTCTGAGGTGCCAATTTTAAAAAATAAACAAGAACTTATTGAAGCATTTAAAGATCTTCTAAAAAAAAAGGTATGATTTTATTAAAATGTAAGTATTAGTTCCAATCATAATCTTTTTAATATGCTAAATATAAAATATGAATAATTTAATAAAATTTAAATCTTAAAAATTATAAACTTATTAGATTTAAAAAGTGTTATATTGAATATTATAGTGTATTTAATTTTAATGTAATTAAACTAATCAAAATGTATATTTAATGATCATCAATTCAGTAAAATTATCTAATTTAAAAATTATATTATAATACCTTTTGTTATGAATTTTTCTTGAGCTTAGGTGTGGCTTATAAATAACAAGACTTTTATTCTTATAAAACCATAACTATATTTGTAATTTTTCATTACAAAATTTCATTGCATGTAATGACTTTTTTCAACAAATCAGGTAACTTTCTATTGATTCAAAAATGTCAATGAAAATTAGTTTTCTACTATCTTTTTGTTCCTGAAACAGGTTATTAAGCATCAATTTATACTTGTCATGTATAATTGGTTATGTAAAATTTGTCAAAGGGACTCCTTATCAATGTTAACTATTTCAGCTATCATTCTAATTATTCTTATTCTTTAAAATGTTACCGTCAGTTTTTGATTAGCATGGACATCCCACAGGTTGTGTTTGTATTGAACTTTATCATAACCTTCAGTAAATTGTTTATGCTATTCAAAATAACATAGTATTGACATAAAAACATCTCAATATATATCTGTCAATAAATGTAAGCTTTACATTGCAGATTTTAAGATTTTATGCAAAATTTTAAATTAATATTCTTTTTAAATATAGTTTTAAATAGCCACATATCATAGTTTTCAGTCTTAAAAATCCTTTTTTGTATTCAGAATAAGTATTCGAAAAAATATTGAATATGTATATAAATGTAAAAAAAATATATATTTTTTTGAACACTTGAAAAATTACTTTGAGAATATTAAAAAAAATAGTCTATTTATTATAAAGTAATTATTATAGTTAATAACATTTTTATGAATACTTTTAACAAATTTACAATAAATTGAACTGATATATTATAATGGATTTCTTCACGTGACAACTGAGTACAACAAAATAAGTTTTATTGAAGGATTAAGTTATTTATAAAATAAGAAAAAATAAAATAAAATAACTATGTAATATAAATATGATTTATGTCTAAAAGTTACAAAAATAAATGGTAACATAAAATATACAATATTTTTATAAATCAGTCAATTTTAACAATAAACTAATATAATTGACATACTGACATTTTCAAAATACAGTTTGCTAAATACTGATAAATGATAAATCAATATTATTTGCATAAGAAATTATAAAATACCTTCAACAATTTTTTTTAAATTTATTTTGATTAAACAGATATTCTATAAGTTAACAGTATTTTAATAATATAAAATGAAAATACTAAAAAAAATAATCAGAATGCTGTAAAAATACAGACAAAATATTAAAATACTTTATAATTTTTTGTATTCATTTTAATACTTTAATTTGAAATTTTCATAAGGCTACTAGTTTTCTTGGTCAATAAAAAAATGGTTTCATCAAAATGTATAAACGCATGAAATTATAAGCCCTAATGAGTATTTAAACAAATAAATATCTTACCCCTAGAACTTTAATATATAATTTTTTTTTTCTTGTATTAATCTTAACTACTTGAAAAGAATTAGATTCAATTTTTTTTTTATTGTATTCTGTAAAAAGACAGCCTATAAAAACTTATTTTTATATTATGGGAAATAACAACCTTGAATTTAAATATTAGCACTACTTTATTACTAATTTTTTTAACACTTCATAACAAATATTTAGTTTTAATAGTTTTATAAATAAATTTTTTTTTTTTTTTTTTAGAATATTCCAAGTAACGCATCTTGGGATCAGACTGTAAAAATAATAAGTCGCGATCCACTCTATCCCCAAGTAAAAAAACTTAATGAAAAAAGACAATTATTTAATGCATATAAGACTCAAAAACAAAAAGATGAAAAAGATGAGCATCGGCTTAAAGCAAAAAAAGCTAAAGAAGATTTAGAAAAATTCTTTATGAAAAATGAAGATGTTACATCTAAAACTAAATATTATAGGTTAGAAGAAAAGTATGAGCATTTAGATGTAAGTATAAATGTAATTTATTTTTCATAGCATAGTTCAATATTCAGTAATATTTAAATTATTTTTCATTAATAAGTTCCAATTATTATGCAACATATATGTACAAAAGAAGAAATCCAAAAATGTTATTGGGTCTTCTTTTGACTCATTATATTTAAGGAATGTTCTTTTTTTTATATTAACCCTTAATATTAAAACTTAAATTATTAGTTTTTTGTAGCTTTAATTGTTTTTTATAATCACTTTTAATAAAAATTTTCGAATCAATAACTATACTATTTATATATGAAGTAATTATGAATGATCAAAATATATATTTAAAATTATGGTTTGTTTTGTGTATTCAGAAAAATAATTCTTTTTATTTTTCCTAATTTGTTCTATAGATTTTTATATACTGTAATTAATAGTAAAAATTATATACTTGGTTGACATTAAAGAAACATGATACTTAATTGCTAATTTCAATTAATTAAATTGTAGGGTAAACTGACTTGGTACTGTGTTTTTTTTTAGCCGCACACTGCTATTAATCAACCTACACGAAATGTGTATTGGGTTCATCTGAATCTTAAGTACGCATTGGCCTTGTACTGTTACAGTATCTTAGATAGTACAATCTAATATTGTACCCTGTATCTTTTTTCACATGATATCTGATATACTTTTGATAACTGAACATTAATTTCCAGCCATGTTAAGTGGTTTCAAATGTTCAGTATTTTCATTGTGATGCATATAGAGGACAGTCTTCCTTCCTATTAATGATAGTGCATTGTGCAATTTGGAGTACTACATAATCTATCAGTACCTTATATTTTAAGATCTAATCTTGTACTATGCCTCCTTTAATCACATAATTTTTAGTATACATCCCAAGACTATCATTTCCAAACAACTATATCAAAACTTATATAAAATTCTTTTATTAAATAACAAAATATATCAAATCTAAATATGTAGGATTTCAAATTTGAGAATTCTAATAATTATATTTTAATTAATATTAATTTAAAAAATTTAGATATGGAGAAATGTATCTGAAATAGATCGCCGAGATGTCTATGATGATGTAATGTTTAACTTAGCTAAAAGAGAAAAAGAAGAAGCTAAAGCACAAAAAAAACGTAATATGAAACAACTAGCTGCATTATTAGATTCAATGACAATTGTAGACCATACTACGACTTGGCATCAAGTCCAAGAAATGCTTCTTAATAATCAAAATTTTGTCAATGATCCACATTTACTAGGTAAATTTATATGTATAAATTATGTACAAGGTGTCTCGAACAGATTGTTATAACTTTTGACACAATTATACAGCAAAATTATTATTTTGTTTAAAAATAATTATTTTTTTAGACTATATTAAAGAATTTTTTTTTAAATTATTTATCACTAATAAAAAAAACATAAAAACATTTATTTCAAGTTTAATTTTAATTTTAAAAAAGATTTTTTAGTTCCTATTTTTACAAGAAATTTTAGAGAGTTAATATCAATTTTTGGATAAGTACTCATTGAGTTACAGTCATTTTAATACATAGAGTTAGTATGGAACACTGGCAGAGTATATGTTTACCACTGCAAGTTGCACCCACCTTCACTACATACCCATTGTTTGTATTAAAACTCTTAAAGCTCGATGACTGATAGTGCTATAATTGTTATCAATCTATCAAATTAAATATATATATATATATATATATATTAAACTAAATAATTTGCATTAAAAATAATCTAAGAAGGCAATAATTATTTTAAAAAAAAGTTTTACAAAATGATAATTTTATGAAAATGTATAAGCATTTTCAGTTAGGTCTGAGACACTCTGTATAGTGTGATTTATTAAGAATACTAATCCAAATTTTTTTGTTAAATATTAATTTTTTATATAAACAAAATATCAAATTTATTGTGAAAAAAATATACTAGAGCTAACTTTAAAAATTTAAATTGGAACCTATTATTATTTCTTTTCCTATTAAATGAAAATATAATAATATTTAGATTATCAAAAGCAGTTTTGTATTAATATTTTTTGAGATATTAGTATTTACCTAGAAATTATTGAAAATTTTAAATGTTAGTAAAAAGAAAAAATCAGGTCCAAAAAACTATTTTTTTTCTGACATTGACTTTAACAAAAGAACAATCAATTGAAAAAAAAATTGTAAAAGCAATGTTGTTTGTAGTTTTTTAAAAAAATTTATCTTATAATGTTAAAAATAGGAGTTTATAAGAAATAATGTAAGAATAAAAAATTATAAATAAGGATTTTTATCCCTGAGAAGACTAAAAAAAAAAAAATTATTTAACTACATATTGTAGTTTTTTGAATCTAATATTTTTTCTCCTTACAAACATTTAAAATAATTTTTGAGAAAATGGGTGTTTTACCAGATTTTGATCACTCTGTATATATATGTCTCATACACATATATAAATATATATTTAAATTATATACTTGAATTGAGTGTATTTCATGTTTATTTTTAATGTTTTTAAAAATTCAGCTATGGAAAAAGAAGATGCTTTGACAGTATTTCAGGATCACATTCGTGAACTAGAAAAAGAAGAAGAACATGATAAAGAAAGGGAAAGAAGGCGCAGGAAACAACAGGAGCGTAAGAACCGTGATAATTTTGGAGTATGTATTTAAAAAGGGAAAAAAAATTTTGTAAATATTTTGACTTAAATAAATGTATTTACTTCTAAGTAGAAATATGTAAGTTCTAAAAATAAACTTTTTTCACAAATGCCAACACATTTGACGTTATAGGTAACTAAAAATATTTTAGAAAAAATGATACAAGTCAACTAAAATTACATGGTACCACATTTCCCTCAGCCTCACATCATATTATCAACTTATAGGAAGTATATCGGAATCTGAATAATAAATGCACAGTGACCTTGTGATAATGTTTGTCTCTATTACACCTTGGATCGCAGATTCTAATTTTGTACGATGTTTCTTTTTTTCATATGATTTCCAGTATACTTTTGATAACTGATCATTAATTTCTAGCCATGTTAATTGGTACCCAAATGTTTAGTTTTTTCATTGTGGGGCACGTATAGAAGATATCCTGCCTTCTGACTAATGATAGTATTCCAGTGTACATTTTGGGGATAGAGTTGACATAGTACCATGTTACAATCAGACACAGATCACATTATCAAACTATAAAAAAATGTAATGAGTTCTGGCTATTTATCATGGAGACCTAGTAGTAAGATTTTTCTCTCCTATGGTTAACCAAAAATCTAGATATATCCATATCTAAAAGTCTAATCCTGACAAGGATTGAAAAAATACCATTAATTCAAACAATTTGGATTACAGATTGGATTTATTAACGTAAAATTAAATGTAACTACTTATAAAGTAAAACAATCTTTTTGTATTACATAATAAGTATTAACTTAACATCTTTAATCATTAACTTGTTAATTATTATTTTATTTTATTTTATAATGGGTATGTCATTATTTATTTAATTAAAAATGCAAAAATATGCTGAGGTTCCAATCTTATACCATTTCTTTTTTCATAAGATTTTTGGTACATTTTTGATGATTTGTTGTGTCAATAATAAATATGGGCTTTATACTATTATACATTTTCTTATTATTTTTATATTAATTATTACAAAAATAGTTATTAGTATTTCCATATCATTGCTATTATTTATTTTAAAATGTATAAATACAAATACAATTTATTTATGTTACTGCAAATTATGAATTGAACCAGATTTATATGTATTGCTCAAATACTCAGTCATTGACAATAGTTTTTAAGTAATTAAAGTTTATCTTGATATCTATACAACAATATTTGTTTTATTAAGTTTTTTTATTGTATATTTGAAATTTATTACAGTGGTATTTAGATATTATATTATATGAAGTATTTTACTTACAATTTTTTTTAATTAATTAAACTTATTGTTGGGGTTCAAAATTTCCTAATACAAATTTTTTTTTTTATATAGTCAAATTATAATAGAAATAGGTAGAGGAGGTTAAATTAATCAGAAAACCATAGGCATAAATAATGCCTATGCATTTTAAGTCAAATATTTTTTTTTATTTTTATTGATTGCAAAATTATAACTAATTATAGTTAAGTTAGGAAATTTAAAAATGTTTAATTTGTGATAACCACAAATATATATATATATTTATTATAATTGTAGATGTTTTTGGAAGAACTTCACCAACAAGGAAAATTAACATCAATGTCTTTATGGAAAGAACTTTATCCTATTATTAGTACTGATATTAGATTTTCTGCTCTTCTTGGACAACCAGGTATTTTATAAAGAACTTGAACTTAAAAAAATTTATTTATACATTTTTGATATTATATATCACAATTTTTTATTTATAGGTTCAACAGCTTTAGATTTATTTAAGTTTTATGTCGAAGATTTAAAATCAAGATTTCATGAAGAAAAGAAAATTATCAAAGATATTTTGAAAGAAAATTCATTTGTTGTAGATGTAATTTTAGTTTATATTATTTAATTTACTTTCTACAATTGCGTTAATTTTTTTAGATAAATACTACATTTGAAGAATTTGCACGTGTTGTATGTTTAGATAAACAATCGGAAACATTAGATGCGGGTAATGTGAAATTGGCATATCATGGTTTAATTGAAAAAGTAATACAGTTAACAATCACTATAAATAAATTCTTGTTAACACATTAAATTATATATTTGAAGGCAGAGGGAAGAGAGAAAGAGAGGTTACGGGAAGAAACAAGAAGACAACGGAAATTAGAAACAACCTTCCGCGCATTACTTAAAGAAATGGATGTTGATTATAAATCAAATTGGGATGATCTTCGTCCAAAAATTGAAAATCATCAAGCATTCCAATCCATTTCATTGGAGTCTGAAAGACTTCGTATTTTCAAAGTAAAATTTGTTTTATTATCCTAATAAGCATAAGAGTTATGCATAATATTGAGCTTTGAAGTAATATATATATATATTTTTTTTTTTTCAGGAATTCCAAATTGATACTGAAGAAGTTTGTAACCATCACCATTCTAAAATGAAAAAATCTAAGAAAAATAAAAAACATAAAAAGAAATCCCGATCTAGATCATTGGTATATTAAGTTATATATANCATAAAAAGAAATCCCGATCTAGATCATTGGTATATTAAATTATATATAAAAAAAAAAAAATTGTTATTATAATACATATTTTAAAAAATTATTTAAGGATTCTAGTGATTCGGATTATAAACAAAAGAAAAAGGGAAAAGAAGAGTCACCTGAAATAAGTGATGCAGAAAGCCGAAAACGTAAATATAAAAAATCAAAAAAAAAGAAACACTCCGAAAGCCCTCGAGCTAGATCTCGTTCTAGGGTAAATTATTTTTACATATAAATTTTTATTTGAAAATTAGTTTCTAGTATTTTACTCAAAAAATTTTTGAAATATTATTTCTTATGAGGAATAATATAGACTATCAAAATGATATTTTTGACTAAGAGAAATTTTTACCAAAAATTAAAAAGTCTGATTTTATTCTTCTTAGTGAAATTAACATTATATTAAAAAAATCCACAAACATTTTCTTTTTTTGCGCATTTAAAATTAACTTTCAAAACTGTTAAATGTTTTAATTAAGGAAAACGTTAGAATTTCTATTAAGAATTGTTTTCTATATATACAATAATTTTCTATAATTGAAATATTTTAAGAAAAATAATAAATTGTAATAATTATTTGAGTTCATAATTTTAAACAAAAAATTGCTTAAATGCTTGGAGCGTATTATTAACTGTGTCTAATGTAATATCTTTGAAAAATTAAACCTACAATAAAATTTAATAGCTTATTAAAATTTTAAATTTAAATTAAATTATAATTTTAAAATCTTAATACAAAGTTACTATTTTATTCAATTTTTTTTAAATTTTCAATAATATAAAAAAAATAAATTGAAAAATTAAAATATTTATATATATATAGTAAGTTATTATAGTTGAGTTATAAATTTTTAAATGACAATATTAATTTTCAACATTAAATAAAGCTCCTATATTAACTAATTTAGTGGATACCGTTATTTTAAAAGTTAAACATTTTAATTATTATTAATAATGTTCTATAATTGAACTTATATGCAAAGTGAGTTTTAATTTTGTTTTTTTTAGTCTTCGAGTTTAAAAAAATCTGATGTAGAAGAAAAAAAAACTATTAAAAAAAATCATAAATCATCTGAATACAGTGATGATGATTTAGAGGCAAAGAGAAAAGCATTGCTGGCTCAATTACATGACGAAATGAACTAAATTATTTTTTTATGTACATATTCTCTTAGGTAATATGTTTTACACACCATTTGATTTATTTCGTGAATAAATTTTATTAATAAGTAATGTGGCTCCATAAAAGCAGTTTTGTTTTTTCTATTTCCTTGAGATTTTTATTTTTTAGTTAAAAAAAAAAAATGTTTCATAAAAATATGTCTAAAATTACTATTTAAAATTATGTAGTAATTTTATATTAAAATAAACATTTTTTATCAAATAGTTAATATAGGACATTGAAAAATTACATTTATAGATCAATTGAATTATTGTAATGGATATTTTATGAGAAAAATATTGATTGTTTAAAAATTGAAGTGATCAAAATCTATCAAATTTAATTTTTTATCAGTGTAAATTCATAGTCCTGTACTCTCACTAAATTTCANACATTTATAGATCAATTGAATTATTGTAATGGATATTTTATGAGAAAAATATTGATTATTTAAAAATTGAAGTGATCAAAATCTACCAAATTTAATTTTTTTATCAGTGTAAATTCATAGTCCTGTACTCTCACTAAATTTCAAAATTACATATTAGATTTTAGGATAAAATTGGTTGTATTCTATTGGAGAAAATTTATTTGTACTCCCTAAAATAAAATTTGAATTATATACTCGAAATGACTATTTAGTGTTAAGGATTTACCTTTTTCAGTCAATAGTTTATAAATGAGGAATATGTGTTGAATAATCTATAGTCATTTAATTGTGCTATTTCTAAAACTAAAAGATGGCTTATATTTCTATAAGATTATCAATCATATTTTAAAGATTACTTATTATGGAAATTTTCACTAAAAATTTAATGAAAACAATTAAAATAAACTAATATTAAAATTTTAATTGTTTTTATATTCTACGAATAATATAAATATAACTTGTTTGATATAAGTAACAAGAAATAAAAAATTTCATTATAATCATTTAAATTTTCTCTATAAAGATAATTATTGTTCACAATAATAATGAGATAAAATATATAAGCAAACAAAAAGATTGGTGTAGCAAGTACTTAAAAAAAACGTCAAACATTATCATTTTGATAATGATAAAATCGTAGTAGAACTATTATATATGTCCTCTATGAAGGACGTAATTTACCGCTTAAATAACGGATGATTGATAACACTTGATAAATTTGTTTGTNTAAAATTGGTTGTATTCAATTAGAGAAAATTTATTTGTATTCCCTAAAATAAAATTTGAATTATATACTCTCGAAATGACTATTTAGTGTTAAGGATTTACCTTTTTCAGCCAAAAGTTTATAAATGAGGATTATATGTTGAATAATCTATAGTCATTTAATTGTACTATTTCTAAAACTAAAAGATGGTTTATATTTCTATAAGATTATCAATCATATTACTTATTATGGAAATTTTCACTGAAAATTTAATGAAAACAATTAAAATAAACTAATATTAAAATTTTAATCGTTTTTATATTCTACAAATAATATAAATATAACTTGTTTCATATAAGTAACAAGAAATAAAAAATTTCATTTTAATCATTTAAATTTTCTCTATAAAGATAATTATTGTTCACAATAATAATCAGATAAAATGTATAAGCAATCAAAAAGATTGGTGTAGCGAGTACTTAAAAAAAACGTCAAACATTATCATTTTGATAATGATAAAATCGCAGTAGAACTATTATATACGTCCTCTATGAAGGACGTAATTTAACTCTTTAACAACGGATGATTGATAACACTTGATAAATCTGTTTGTTAAAATGTGTATTTTTCATGGTAGAAAAATAATTAATAGAACTTTACAGCACTTATCTACATTTTTTACAAAAAACCAAGTTTTTTTTATATAAAATTGTCCTATTTAAACCTTATTCAATATTTTATTAGTCATTCATTTAGCACTTATCATTATTTCTGGGCATATTGTTCTAATTGTGTAATAATATCTTAGTTGTTCATAAGTTAATTTCAGATAAAGTAAAATTCAATCTATTCCATTTATCAAGATATAATGATAATCTTTAAATTAGTAATTTGCTTTTTGTGTTATTCAGAATGCCACTTTGATTTTCCAGAAAAATAATTTAAACTACTATTTTAGTTGATTTTTTAAATATTTCATTAATTAAATTAGATTTTTAAATCTTATACTGTAAAAATTTAATGCCTTTAATTTCTTTGTAAATACACATTTCTCGTTTCTTATAAATAATAATCATGTCCAGTATACAATATGATTAATACATAAAAATTTGCATTATGAAATAATAATTATAATATTATAATATTAGTTAACAACATTTAATCAGTATTTAAAAACAAAAACATAGCCATTTTTAAATTGCATTTTCACAAAATTTAAACAACTATATTTATGCTGTTTATTATGCCATCATAGGTTTTTTTAATACAATATTTAATATGAAATATATACATCGGAATGGGATTCATTTAAAAAAATCATTAGGAAATTTTTTGTTGATAGAAAATAATTATTTTTGATTGTTCAATTACTTATTATTGGAAAGTAAAGTATCGAATAAATTCGAAAGGCCATCAGCATAATCATTGAAACATTCGGTAGCTGTAGCTTCATCGAATCCAAACATACTACCTATGGATACACAAGCTTCCCTCATTGACTCTCTATTTATATTTCCTAATGGATCGCGACCCTGGTGACTAGAATTGTTATAGTTCCACAACGCCTCGTAAACATTGAAAAGTATTTTTCCGAGATCGTAAGTGTTATTTTGATTTTCGAACGTTATTTGATGTTCTGTAAAATATATAGCTGCAAACAGTAATATTGCCCTAAGGCGACTTGAATTCAAGAACTTTGGCATTATGTTGTTCAAATATAAAGACGTTAACATGCGCAACATTTTAAAATTGTCTGCTTGAAGAACCTTTATGAGGGTGTCATTGCAAATGTTTAAACTGTCATTTATACTTCCTGTTTGGAACGACTCAACTACAGTTAAAATGTTATTAAATGTAGAATTCAATTCGGATAAATTATAAAAACTGAAGATCAATTTAAGCTGCTCAATTCTCTCTTTGATGTTTTCATTAGTTATAGTAGAAGTAAAGACGTCATATAAATTGTGATGTCTGTTAAATTCATCATCAACTACAATGTCCCTTAATAGTTCTAAATCTGAGCTCGAAATCAACGAGTTCAAAATTTCAACAAATGTAGTAAAATCATTATATCCTATAACTTTACTGTCTTGTATATTATTTACAATTACAAATACTAATATAAAACTAACATTTTTAAAAAACATTTTTTAATGTTGAAGAATAATCAGTCAGGTACTATCGCACTTTAAAACTATTTTAATAACTTATGTTATATTTAAATTTTTATACTAAAAATTTCGTTCAACATATAATACTGTATATAAATAAATTATTTCATAGTAATTTAACAAATAAATTTTCAACCTTATGTTTAAACATCGATTATGATTTAAAAAAAAAAACTTGCATATAAAAAACATTTTAAATATGTTTTAAAATAATGTGAGTTCATTTAAAATAAAAGAATCTATTTTTTTTTTTCTATAAGTCGGGGCGCTGGACTATTTTTTATATGGAAGAGGGAGATTTAATGACTAAAACTCGGTTCCCTTGATCCCTACTAAGCTAAAAAGCAGGTTAAGCTATTTTATGATGGATTTTGGTTATCATATAAAAAAAATCCAATAATTATAAATTTTACTCTTAATAATACATATTTTATTTTTATTAAATTATTAATAAATATTGATAATATAATAAAATATAGTTAATAGATTAATTACATTTTTTTAGTTATTACAATAAATAAAAAAAAAATTACCTTATTATAAACTTTAAAAACTGTTTAGTTAAATTTATCAATATTTTTAGCAGAAGAACTTTAATAAAATCGAAATTTAGAAATATATAAATTAAATACTGAAAGTAGAACAAATTTAATCTTTGGTGAAAATTTTATTTTAGTAATAAAATTCTTAAAACATAATATTGGGATACTCACAAAATCTGAAATAGATTTTTAGCTTCGATGAGAAGCTGAGAAGGTTTTAATTTTTCCATGATGTTTTTTAGCTTCTTTAAACTTTGATACAAATCAATAGTTAATTTCGCAATCAAGGGTTAATTGTTAAGTCAATGGTTTTGTGGAAGTGTAGTGTATTTTGCTGATTGTTGGTAATAATTTTGCCAACTATAATACCTTAATGAGTAAAGTAATCGACAATTCTAAAAATACCAAACACAGCTTTATTGAAAGTATAGGGTATGTTACACATCTCTTACTTTTTTATGATATCACCTTTATTTACACTGCATCGATACACACTAATTTTGGGTGAACTTCTAATTTCTCAGTTGTAGCTTCTATGCCAAGCTGAGAAGGTATTAATTTTACAATTATATGGTTTTTTTTCTGTGTATGTTGCCACTTCTTCTCAGCTCTGACTGAACCGATTTCTTTCAATGATACGTCACAAGATCACACATCGTATCTAGTTGAAGACTAGAAGAAAAAGTTTCCCTTATTTTCTGTAAATGGCGCAAATCCTCCAAAAATTTATAATTTTAAAAATTGATACATTTCGATATTTTTTTCACTTTTTTTCCTAAAAATTGCCATAACTTATTAAAAAATAAATAAATAGAAATAATTTTCTTTTATATTGAAACCTTAAGTAATTGCCTTTTATTTGATACAATATTTGTGAAAATCTGACAAGAAGGGATTCAAAATAGCAACTTTTTCGACTTAACTTTTGAAAATAAGGACATCACTTGGGAGAGATGAAACGTCATCACGTCTTATGGCCGGTTTACTCAACTGTACAAATTTTCAGTTCCGATAGTAAGTTTCAACCCAACCAAATCTAATCGAACGGACAAAATATACTTATATGTTTATTTTGTGGTTCTATTAAGTCTTTTAATTTCTATTATTTTATTCTATATTAAAAATAGTGTTTGGTATAATACATTTGTGTTATAAATTTCTTTTAAGATACATTTTTACTAGATTTAAAATGGTTTTGGGTCTCCTCAGTCTTTTATATTATATTATATTTAATATAATTTTTTTTTGCCTTTTAAATATATTGATTTGGCAATTAAAAAAAAATATATATTTAATTTATGACAATGTTTTGAAATGTCTGATAACTTATCTAATACCAGATTTAAAATGTAAATTAAAAGCATTCTTACGATATTTTTTCTATAAGTTATTTGACTTAAAAGCCAAAAATTTATGTGAAAATTTGTCATATTTATCATTTTGCTATAATTTTTTCAAAAATACATTGATTGGATTGAATTTTTATAAGGTATTCCAGTGACAATGTGCTTTCTTTTAAAATATTTTCTGTATAAATTCAATGGAAAACCTAAGTAGAGGAAAATTTTAAAAATAAAGACTACTCTCGCATATAAAAAAAATTTTTTGAACTTAATTTTTGAAAATGTTTTGGAACGTCTAACAACTTTTAACCTATATAAAATAAAGGTTTTTGAAGTGTACTACCATATTTATAAAAATATCCAGTCCATAATTGTGCTATTATGTAAAATCGTACATCAAAGTAAAAAACGTTTTCAAAAAAATCCCTTTATATTTAATTAATCAAATATATTAATAACAAATATTCTATTATATTTTTCTATATTTTACTTTTAGGGGACTAAGTTACTCTAAATTCCAAATTTCTACTAATGACTTGATCTCTAAAAGTTTGATATAATCCTCGATTATTAATTGAATTTTAATTTCTTTCTTAAACATCTCGATCATTTATTCGTAAAGGTGAGCCTCTACGAATTTCAACTATTATCTAACTAGCTTATTTAAGCGGTACATATAGCTTTTATCATTCAAACTTAACTGTTCAGTAAATCTTATTATGTAATAAAATATTACAAATTTTGCAATTACTGAAAAATGACCTACGTATTCTAATTCTCATTTTTTAGCTTCGATGCGAAGCTGATATGGTATTGCTTTTACTATTGTTTTTTTTTTGTGTGCGTGTTGTTAACACTTTTTCTCAGCTCTCACGGAACCGATTTTTTTCAACAATCGTCAAAAGATCACAAATTGTATATAGTTGAAGATATTACCCTCAAAAATTAAAAAAATTTCTCTCGTTCCACATAAATGGGGGAAATCTCCAAAAAAATTGCAAATTTAAAAATCGTTAATTTTCGACATTTTTTTTACTTAAAACTGCCATAACTTTTTTAAAAATAATCAAATCAATATAATTTTTTTTTATAGATGCATGATGTTTTAAACTATCATTTGGTATATTTTTTTATAAATCTGACTCTTTACCTGCCCACAAGAGGGGATTCAAAATGACAACTTTTTTACAAAAAATTAACTTTTTCAACTTAACTTTTGAAAGTGTTCCAGAAACTTGGTAACTTTTATATATATCTTAAATTAAAGCTAATGAACATGATTTATCATGGAAAAAAAACATTGGACTTTATTATGTCTTCATGGTGAAAATTGCTACCAAATGCTATTTTTATGTGAAAATTCTTGATTTTATATTTTACATTTTTAACTTTATAATACTATAACTTATTTAAAAGTGTAAGGATCAATACAATTTTTTTATGAGAAATAATATTTATAGTCTTCTTAGATTCGACATACTTTATCTTAATATTTTTCTAAACATTTATCTATGCAAGGTTAATGTATTTTAAAATAATATAAATACTAATCATTTTGATGTTTTTTTATTTAAATACAATAAAATAGTAGTAAATTTATAAATCATTAGCTTAAGTCAAAAGGTGGCGAGGGTGAATTATGTTTTTGTATAGTAGTGCCAGTTGGTATAACAATAAGTTCTGCAACCTAAAAATAATCAAATTGATTATCAATTCAAGAGTAAAGTTTAATGACACAACAATTATTTTTTCATATTTATGTTGTTTGGTATAATGTGCGAATAGTATTTTTAATAAACTAATCGGTTACTATACACAACATTTTTTATACGAAATATGATTTGTATGAGCACTAACAACAAATAAATGCCCAATCCAACGTTACCGGACTATTTAAAAACTATTGTTATATATAAATTTATATTGCTATTAATATATATATATATATATATATATTATCTTTTATATTAATAAAATATATTGACAAACCAAAACATTTGGAGGTGTTGACAGAGCTGCAATAACTGTATTTGCGACATCTTCCGATTTCAATATCATATCACTAGATTTGCCGTGACTTAATGGTTTCCATTGAGCCACTTCAAAAATTTCTGTGTCAACTAAGCCTGGACTGATGCTCTAAAAAATAATTCTTTTAAATAAATTTAATATTATCAAACCGTCCTTATTAATTAATTTTTAGTTTTATAAAGATTGGTTCTGATTTTCATAATTTGCCTATTTTCTTAAGTTGTTAATATTTTGTAAGTTTTATATTATAACAAAGTTTAGTGCCAAATTTATAAAGTATTGGTTCTTCTTTTCTCTCGCTTTTATCTCAACTACTTGGGGCCGACCACTCGTATTCTAAACCTCCACTTAACATGATATGCTATATTATTTATATACACACTAGCAGTCCTAGCTGGTGTATAAATATGTCCTCATAAATCACCTCCAATTACATCCAGTCATCTTTTTTCGGCCTTCCTCTATTTCCTTCAAACGAAAATTAGCCGAATTTAAAAGCAATTAAATAATTTATGTTTATTTTAATTATTTAAATTATAATTAATATAACTATAGTAGTCTGTTTGTTATAAAACTTTTGTCAACTATTCGTATCAAATTACAGTGGGGTAATTAGAATTCTTTTAATGTCTAATCGATCATAATTTTAAACTTTGATTTTTAAAATTTCATTATATGTCAATATAGTGACGTAAAAAAACTATTATTATACTGAAATGAGTTCACTAATGTCGCAAATGTATATAAATGATACCAAATTATGAAAATTTATCTTTTTTTATTCACTAATAAAAATTATTATTGTATGAATTTTTTTCTAATATTTGTATTGCACCTTTTTTTATGATTTATTTAGCTGGTATTATTGTTGATTCTTTTTAATTTTTATAAAATTATTTGAAACACCCGTACTTTAAAATTGGTAAAAACAATTCAAGTATGATTTTTTATTATGGTGATATAAGAAAAATAAAATAAAACTCGTATATTTATACAAGTTTTTTTCTTTTTCTGTTTACAAATTCTTTAATTTATCTGATTTTAAAAACTATTAATAAATAAAAATGTTTACAGTGACTTTGATTTTCGATTGCATTAACTGTAATTCATGTCTTAAGCCATCACATAAAGCTGTCACAGCAAATTTTGATGCATTATACATTTTGTGAGCGAAAACTGGAGTCAGAGCATGTCCTGCAATGCTACAAATACAAAATTAAGACTATATACAGAGATGATAACTAAATATTATTAGAGCACCTATTAATTTGTATTATGTGTCCATTAATTTTGTGTTTAGCCATAGATTGATATGCCTCTCTTGAGCATGCACTTAATGCCATAACATTTAGATCAAAAATAGATTTCCAATCAGCCGTGCTACCCCCTAAATTGCATATTGGTAGGACATTTAATTATAACAATAATTTAAATAGTAACATTAATTGAATTAAATAGTATTTACATGTAAAAAATCCTATAAGATAGGACGAGTCAGTCATTAACATTATAATGAGAAAAATCATAGAGATAAGCCGTGAATAAGCGATTCAATCTCACTAGACTTATTTCGATTAATAATAAACGCAATAATATTATGGTTATTATGAAATAGACTGTTTCAAAATGATGGATTATATATGTTTAATATGTGACGGTATGTGTCGCGTGTCAGCTCTTAGGTTATGATACTGGTATTATTTATCAGAAAATCATCGCCTGGTCTTTTTATCGCTATTTAATACTATAAAATAGCTTCGACAAACTGCGCCCGTACAGACAAAATAAAATACTTTCTTCTTTTGAAGTAGATAGAGAAATATTTTCTCTTGTGATTCGTATTCTGGATAAAAACATGTCCCTAATTTGATTGATTATTATTTTGTTATCAACATGTTAAATAAAATAAAGAATATTTTTGCATTTAAAGGTAAAAAATATATATTAACTAAAAATTGTGATTAATTTACGACAAACTATTCATATAGCTATAAAAAATAATGTCTAAATTTATTTAGTAATTTCAACTTGGTATTGTATTTGGGTCGATTATAGACATGGATCTTTTTACTATATAAATTTTTTGTTGTTATGTTAAGCTTAAAATTAAACATTTTTTCTGTATAAATTATGTATTTTTACATTCTTACCCAATAATGTAGAACGCCTTAACATGCCTGCATTATTAATCATTATACTTATTCCGCCTATGTTTGTTTCAATCCAGTTAAATACATCTTTCAAAGATACTTCATCAGTTATATCACATGGTTTCAAGTAAATCTTTCCACGCCATTCTTTTTCCTTTACTAAATTACTCAATTCCTATTAAAAAAAAAAAAAAATGAACCTAATTTATATAATAAATTTTACGTCTTTAAAGCATTGTTGGATTTGGATAGGGGATTATTATTATCCTTTAATTTTTTTTTTTTAAACTGTGCTTTCATTTTTTAGATTGTTAAGTTTTGATAAGTCCTTACAATAAGAAGGTGCTCTCTCCTTGCAATAGCTACTACATTTACTCCGTGTTTTAACAGTTCAATAGTTATTGCAGAACCAATGCCTGCACTTGCTCCAGTAACGACAGCTAAATGTCCACGCCACTGTTCCATAATTGATAGAGTTTGAAACAAATTATTTTTTATTTGACTTATATTTTTCTATGAACAAGTGTGATGAACACTTCTGAAAATGTTGGCACAACTTTTAGAAACATAAAATATAATCATACTTCACAAAATAGAATTTCATAAATATAAAAATTAAACTTCATTAAAAATTTGTTCAATGTAATGCTTTTTCGAAAAAAAATGATATACACTGTTTAAATTAGGTAATTTAAAAATATGTTTAGTTAATGTAAAAATTCTAATTATCCACTAGTAATTTGACAGTTGTTATTGAATTATAGTTAAAACAATAAACGTTTAAGTAAATTTGTATGTTTTGAAAGTTCTATCAAATTTTAAAATGTTTTTTCTTTTCTTGATGCATGGAGAGTTACACACTAATATTACTAATGCTATATTAACGGAAATTAAAAGTCATAATTTTAAATTAAATAATTAAGGCAATTTTCACTATCTACAAATTTTATTGCTTTTATTATATTTTTCTAAATGATAAAATTTAAACAATTTATGTTAAAAATTATATATGTATATAAATGTGTAATATTCAATTTGAGTCAAAATTTCGTTATAATTTACTTCTATAAACTCAAAACTTACTTAGAATAAGATCGATAAAAATAGTAATGAGTTCTTTTGCGATTATTTCATTTTTCATTTAAAATTATAAATGTCAATTATTTAATTGAAATTAGATTCATAAATATGTAAGTATAACGCTTATACTATATGAATCTTTTATCTAAACTGGATTAATATATGAAAAAGNAAACGAGGTCATTGTTTACACACTCCAAGGATACTCGCCTATATATTACTATGGTTCGAAAGATTTACACCCTGTATATTTTTATTGTATTTATTATCGAAATTATTCAAACAATTGATAGTTATTTATCTTTAGTAATTATGTTTAATTACTTAGTTATTATGATAAAATGAATAGCAGGCTCGATATAGATAAAAATGATAACATATTTAAACCACTTATTATAAAAATTATCAGCTATATTATGTATTCAAATAAATAATAAATGTAACATTATAATTAGTGAATATAAAAATGTTTACAAGAATTATTAAGACACACGCAATAATTGTTCACAAAAGTTAAGTAGTAAAATATGTAAAATGTTTAACTGACTCAAGTTGGCTTATTTGGTGGTTCTAGTAATTTATAAGTGTGCCAATAAGTTTCCATCCTTTTCAAACCAAAATTATAAAAGAAAAATATTACGTTATTTGTTTATTATCTCAACGTTCATTACAGTATTCTATTAATTAGAAATTTATTCTATAGAATAATTATCCAAAAGTTTTCAGTAACCTGAAATTATTCAAAAAATATAGCAATGAGAAAAATATGTGAAATTTAAAAATACAAAAAATAGTTTTCTTTTCATAGTTATTATTTTAAGAAAAATTGAGCGTATAATTTATCAGCAATTTTATTCATTATTTGTTATTAGAATATTTTGTATATCAATCAAATGTTTATGACATTATACACTTGACAAATTATTCTATTAAATAATCTTGCGTTCATACTGTAAATCTAGCTGTGTACAGTTTTTAATTTCAGATAAGATAATAGTTTACTGTTATACTATACAACAACTATATATCACAACATGGAAACTAAAAGGTTATCACATTTATACGTGATAACATTTTGGTTACCGAAAATATTTTTAAATTAACTTTTGGTATACAGAAATGTCTGTGACATTTCTGCATATTATTTTTAATATATAAATAGTTTATTGGAGACATCCAAAATTGTATTTCTCATAATATTATAAGTTGTAAATATTTCTCTCCAGAGATATATACGAAAAAATCTATACAGTTGAAACATCCATTTAAATACCCCATTTAAAAAAACATGATTAATTTGCGATAATAATATAATAATTATAGAGACGGAAGAACTCAACTAATATAGTCGAACCAACTATAAAAAGTAGTTAATATCCAAACATTTGTCATGATTTAACTGATAGGTCATTTTGTTGGACTGATATCATATTCAGTTTCTTTTAACAGACTTATTTAGTTAGCATTATCTATTATTAATAACATTTCTAAATGTAAATGTTAGCAGTCACTATTTAGATTATAATAAAATAACATGTCTCAATTAACATAGAACATATTTGATATTTTGTAAAATATATGCAAACATAATAATTTTTTGCATTTTATTTGGATAATAACGGCGAATAAAGCAAACTTATTTTAACAAAGAATAATTTACTGATATTTTTAATTTTGTCCATAATTATATGACGTAACTACTCAAACGACAATTCGCCGAATGAAGGTTCATGTTTTTGGTTCTTTGCTAAGTCAAAAAAAACTAAATTAATAAATCAAAACATTTTGTGGGCTGTATATCTCTTTTGTTTTATAACGCCAATATTTTCAATAAATAAAATTAACAAATGATAACTTAATCTCTAATGTTAATAAATGCTCAAATAATAACGGCTAGTTATATTGAACTATTAACTTAATAATACGATACACAAAATATACTGACCTTGCTCGTGACCGAGTGATGAACGACGTTGGTGACGATGTATTGTCCAATATTTATATAACAATCGTGTCCGACGCTCCGATTGCATCCGAAGTAAGCTATTAATTAGCTTCTGACAAAATGTTTAAGCGAAACATGAAAATGTAGACTCTCGTCCTACGTAATCTGCCTGTTATATAAGAGCGCTTAATAATTAAAGACTCCTCATAAAGACAAACAGTGTCCGTAATTCCACTGTAGTTACANGACAAACAGTGTCCGTAATTCCACTGTAGATACACACACGCGCACAGGGAGCACACGAGTATGGGAATGACGCCATTGGCGACCATCGCACATACTACCCCAAGTAAAACCAGTTAGGGCAGGTCGCGCTCATGGCGATGACAACCGAAACTCAACAACAACACGGTCTTATTCCGCTTTGGATCGACTGAACAATAATATACACTTGACTATATGAGAGCAATTAAAATTAAAAATATATATAAAATATTTAACTTGTGTCAAGGGGAAGTTTAGGATAAGGGAGTCTGACCCCAAGTAGTTGGGATAAAGCGAGGAAAATTAAGAAGAATTAAAATATTTAACTTAAAAAGTCACAAAAAGGACTAAAAAATAGCATATATATTTTTGGAACAATGTAAGCATCATTAGCGTTAAACACATGATTATTACATATTCGGACGACTACATATCTTTAGTAATTTCAACTAGATTATTATAGTTGTGACAACAACATTTCAGTTAGGCCATTCATAATTTATACAGTTATTTATTATAACTCAATTTTCGCGCTGTAAGTATTAATATGATAAACAAAGTTTGCAGGAGTAATAACGTTATTTAAAATAAAATACACGTCATATAAAAGCTTAAAGTTCGTTGTATGCGTACAACTGCCCTGTCTATTCTGTACGATTATTTATATTTATCACTCTGTAATTGAGTTGAATAACAAAAAAAACATAAACCTATTTTTTGTATTTGCAATTATAGGCGGATTAAAAATTGTTTTCTTTATTTATCGAATAAAAAACATGTATTATTTAAAAATATACAGAAAAAATAGTTTTTAATCAAATTAATTACACAGGAAAATAAATAACAAGAAAAGGTTTCTTGTTTACAAATTTAATTTGAATTTTGGGAGAAATTTTGATGCTTAATCCAAAACTGGTTTCAGAATTTTTTTAGAACATCTAATTTTTA